CCCCAAAACCCCAAAACCCCAAAACCCCATATTAAAGGAATAGATGTAAGAAAAAAAAATTAGATAAAAGTTGATTATGATTTATCAGAGTTAAGTAATATTAATTTAAATTGATCGTACTGAGGAAATGGAAAATAATATGAACATTCCACTTCAAAATGGGGGACATCAAAACTTATTCACTATTGATGAAGAGGAGCACCCCAAAAATGATAATGATACAAAAATGTATAAGAATTAGGATTAAACTGCTTCAGACTCTAATCTCTTTAAAACAAAAAAGAAAAAGCACAGGAAAAAATTATATCGGAAAAAGAAAAGTTTTTAGCCCCTGTCAAAATAGATATAGTCTCCACAAGTAGAAAATTTATCTAATGACAACAATGAAATTGAAGAAATTAATTCAAAATAAGAAGAGGATAGTTTGTTACATGATTAGCCACTATCATCTTTCAAAAAGCTGAATATTCAAAGACCTCTAAGCATCAGTCATCATCCTATGCAATAATAGTATAATAGTGGCTCCTCTAGTCCCATGAGTTTTTCAGAGTATTCTTCTCTTAACGCTAATTCCTCCTCAATCTCTCTTGGGTCACTTTTTGAGTTTAAAAGCACTGATCATCATCAGGAAACAAGATTCTCACATCCAAATGGGGGTCAATAGATCATAAAAAGTCCTAGGCTATCTCCATTACAAAGCTTTGATTAATATCTTCAAGGTATAATTAGAATATTCAATTTCATCTAAATTAGATTTCGTTAGAAAAGTAAACAGTGATTTCCCCTACTCCCAGAAAAAGCAAAGATCAAGAAAATCTTATCTAATTAAGAGTATCATTGAATCATTACCAGAATGTGTCGAGGAAGAAAAAATTGAAGATGAGGAGGTGAGCATTTGATGAAGTTTTTAATCAAACATATTTTAGGAAAAATACTAAAGATAATCAAGATTTTCAGTAATGATGGATCACAATGAGTTTGGACGTCAAGGTGGACGCCATCGTTCATTTGATGGTGTTAAGCGTCGCAGACATCTGACTGTTAAGAATTATCAATATAATCAATCTTAATATGTGAGTGAAACAGAAGAAGAGTAATACAGCGACGATTCTGATAAAAGAAACAAAAAGAAGAGCGGAAGAGGCATAAAGATATTTTCGTTAGGCTATTTTTCATAGCTAATGAACAAGAAAATTTACTCAGATGACTTTGATATGAGTTCAGAATTCAAGTTGTTGAGAAGAAATAAGAAGAATAATAGAGGGTCACTCATGGAGTATCCTATAAATGAGGATGTAGAGTCAGAAAATTAAGATGACTATTTGAGTGACTATTCAGGCTCGTCAAACTTCAGTTTTTAAAAACGAAAAATGTCTCTTAATCTATCAAAACTTATTGACAAACTTGAACCACAATTTGATGATTCAAGCTCATTTATGGGAAGTAAGAATTACTTTAATTCGGTGAATGATCCCATTGAAGAAGAGGACGATGAAGAAATTCAACCAGCTCAGCTCTACTCTTCTTCAAGTTTCTCAAAGCTAAAGGCATCTCATGATAAAGTAAATTCGTTCCTATTCTTCACTACAAAGAAAAAGAAGATCAAGTCTATTTGCCTTGAATCTGAGCCTATATTGGAGGAATTAGAGGAGTATTAAGCGCAGGATATTGATCAAAGAAATCACACATTCATCATACCTAAAAGAGATAGATAAGATTCAATGGAAAGTGGACATAGCAGTGGGTATGGGGGCTTGGGTTCCTTTAACAATCAGAATGCACACCATCAAGCAATTAATGTACAGCAAGAAAGAGTAAATATCCAGATAGCCAATCATAACTTGCTGCCTCCAATTATAGAGAAATAAAAAGATGAAGATCCTGATGATGACAATGAAAAAAATTAAAATAGCCCTGGGGAAGAAGAAATAAATTTAACCAATTGATTGTAAGATTAGGCAAATAATTATGATCACAATAATGCGTTTTTAATTCTATGAAAGAAAGGTCTCATTATTGAGATATCCATCTATTGATAAATATTTAATCTTAATTTTAGTTTTTAAATATTCAATTGAAACATTACAAAAAGGGGTTTTGGGGTTTTGGGG